GCGGATAGCAGAGGACCGCAAAACTGACAAACGATGCGCGCTGGCCCCGTCTCGATTCCGGTCGGGACAATACCCAAGTGAATTTGCACGCGATTTTAATGTCTCCTTGCGCGATATCGACGCCACGCGTTCGATATCGGCTGGTATCTCCCGGCGCGCACACATTTAAATCGCCGCACGTAGGGGATAATTCAGATCGCAAATTACGCGTTCTGAAAGGGGTAACTTCTCGTTGGCGGATCTCCGATCGAAAAGCGTGCGCGAGAAAACTTTGTTACGCCCTCGTACATTCGCGCTCGTACGCGATACGGGAATTACAGCGATATTTAAAGCGACTAATTCGCGTATACCTATACGTGGAATTCGTCTTCACCTTCTCCTCCGCTTTTCCTTCTGCTTTTCCTCCTTCTCTTCCGCGTAGGAAATATTCATAGTATACAAATGTCTCCACCACTCCTGCATTATTTGTCTTTACGTATAAGACATCTCGACATATTTTTCTTCGATATTTTCTCGGCATGTGGCGCTCGGAGATCTCGTCCCGTCATCTCTTCGAATTAAAGTAACAACGAAGAAGAGAAATATTCATACGTGCAATTTTTCATGTTTCATACATAAGATTGTCGTGCACACGCCGTCGCGTATATTTCCGGATGGACAAATAATTGCAGATAAAACGCCGCAGATATTGGATTAACCGAATGACGCTTGCAATTTATTGGTTGCGTTAACGTAATATTACGGTTTGGAATTTGGAGCAGCAAGTCGCGCCTGGCTACATCTTTTCCTAAGAAGCAAAGAGAACTATTTCTAATAAGACCACCGGCGAAGCTACCATACACACACACACACACACATGTATGTGCGTATGTGTACACACACATTAATTAATTAAATTCTTGAAATTCTGGAAACGATCAAACGTCGCGCGCGGGAGTGGATTGCATTCTTCCGGGCGGTAGCATTTTTTACAGCTTCCTTCTAGAACTTGAGAGGGCTCTTATTAAGTTTATAATATCGTGAAAATCCCCAGCTCGCGGCTGCAAGAGCAATTTTACGCTAGAACGTTGTTAATATCATTAATTAAATTAAACGCGACAAATCGCAATAAATACACGTCTTTTCGGCACGACGCGGCCGCAATTACGCGAGCAGCGAGGAAAATAGCCGCGGACAATTGTAAAACAAAACAAACGGACGTGATGCATCGGCCGTGGTGCGTTGGCGAGTCTTTGCCGTCGCTTTGGCGAATCGACACAAGTTGTCCGGTTATTAAAGTTATTTTACGCACAGTTAATAATTAATACTCTGCGCGCCACGTTATCCAACTTTGAAGCATTCTCGCGTTCGCGCGCGTGTGCGCGCCGCCGCCTGCATGTTTGCAGTAAATGAAGTTGAACAAGCAATAGGTTCATTAAACGGTTCATTAAACTCTATTTGATTGTATTGCTCGGTGTTTACGCCGCATGTTAAATCAACGCAACATTGTGACGGGCAAATGTCAGTTGCATTAAATTATGACAGGCTATGCTGACATGTCGGTCCGACGACGTAACGGCGCCTTTTGACGCAGCTTTTATTAACCGCAGCCGATTATTCGTGTTGCACTTTCCGCGCGCAAAAGGGAAGAAAGAGCGCTTCTCTCTCTCTCTCTCTCTCTTCTCTCTCTCTCTCTCTCTCTCTCTCTTTTTCTCGCCATTCTAGATACCGTCGTCGTCCGGGCGACACGTAAATCCGTGTGTCGCCACTCTTCCGCGGGGAAAAACTTCGCGTTGATATGCGCGCGAGCGCGGATGGAGTTATCGCGGTAAACAAAGAAAAGCAAACTTGATAACAACGTTAGCCACGAACAACCGGAAGAGTTTCGCTCGCGCTCGCGCTCGCGCTCGCGCCGCTATATTGTGAAGTTACGCCCTATAAGAAACCACGAATACAGTTTGAGAAAACATCGGATTAATTAAGCGACGCTTTAAACTTGTAATCGTCGCATTAATCCTCTCGCCGCGGAATCGCATTGCCGCGAGACGGGATTTTATTTCCCGCCGCGAAATTTTATGCGGATAAAAAAGTGCGCGAGCGTGCTCACCGCGATTTCCCCTCCTTGTCTCTTCGTATTTCTTCTTCTCTCTTTCTTTTTTCTCCTTTTCCTGAAAGGGACGGAAATACATCTCCGTATCCTTCGCGATCATCAGTTACACACACACACACACACGTCCGCGTATTTTTAATAAGTTGCCAGTATTCAGAACGAGGTTCGAGTTTATTTTGAATTCGCTGTCCAACTTCAGCTTTGAAAATCTCGCCATGATCGGCGTGCATCAGTTCGCATTCACATCTCATTGAAATTCATGATGTTTCAAAACTGGACTTATGTAACTTTCTGAATAAGTGACTCAATGCATGAAGTTGCGCGCAACGGCGCGAATGGTGTAATATAAAATATTGTACATGAGTAACGTTTCGAGAGCGGGACGAGCTTCGATATTGGACAAAATATCGCCGTATGTCGACATTTATCTGCCGACGCGTTTAAATATCGCAAAAATAATAACATCGCAAAAAATTACATTTAGGCGTTCGGTTAAAAGAAATGTTATCGTTCAGCATTGTATACTGCATTATTTATATCGTTTGCGAAGCGGCCTTTGTGCAGCGGGGTGTGATCTACCGTGACATATAATTGCTAATATTAATGTACCAATGACGTTTGCTTGCGTTTGAATTATTATTAGCATCGATTTCATACCGTTGTGCAACATCCCTTATTTATGTTTCTTTCATTATGCGAAACAACCGTATTTCTCTTTGTACTGCTCACGGTAAGTACATCCTGATGATCATTATTCAAAGCTATTGTTAGTGAAAAAAAAAACAACGTACGTTACATTAAGTAACATCTGTGGCAAAAAAACAGTGCGAAAGCAAAAAAGAGCGAACGATGTATTAATAAACGGCATAATTTATATAAATATGCTCCTGACGGTTGTGTCGAATTTTCTGTGAAAATTAAATAAAATATATTCTGTAGAAAATATAGCGTTATTTATAAACCATCTCCGCATTTGCGCCTGCTCTCTTTCTCTCTCTCTCTCTCTCTCTCTCTCTCTCTCTCTCTCTCTCTCTCTCTCTTCCTCTCTCTATTGTCCAGGTGCTTTTTATCAGACGCGGAGAGCTATTTGTTCGGCGGTATCATCGATCCCGAAGGAAGCTCTCGTTGTATTATTAGAATTCTTGAAAAGAAGCGTCGAAGTTGAAAATTCCCCTCCGAAGGCCGGCGGAAATCTTGTTTATCCCCGCTTTTATCTTGTCACGTCGAAATTAGATGACACTAATGCTTTTACTTTGTACAATTGTAAGTACCACCACCGCAGCGGCCGCCGTCGCTACCGTCGTCGTCGTCGTCGTCGTCGTTGCTGCCATTCGTCCTGCATACCTAATTAAGGTGCAAATAAGCGTAGCGCCGCTTTGTCCCCGGGATCAACGGAGGAAAGGAGCGCGCTATGGCGACGCGCCGAAGCGACTTATCGGCGCTCGTTGTCGAAAGAAATTTCAAAATCTCGGATTTATATCACGCTACGCGCGACAATACCCACTGTCGGACGGGACTTTGCACAATTGTCGTCGTGAAGGCTGACGCACGTTTCTCTCTTTCTTTCGCCGCCTCTCGGAATCGCATCCGACATTCGACGAGAAAATCCATCTCGCCGAGAATTTCACAAGAAATTTCACACATTTTTCCATTAAACTGCGCCCCGAAAGCTTTCGAAAATAAAGTTGTGCGTCAAGCTTTCGGTCGGGGCTGCGCACATTCTCCCTCCAATTATATTGTATCGAATCGGCAGTTTCGAAGAGAAAAATTAGAGCTGACCCGTCTCGAGTTTTATCTCGCCAGCAAAAATCGGATCGACGATATTACCGATACACACACACACACACACACACACACACACACACACACACGTCAGTCTCGCGTATCGCGACAGTCGTCGGAAATAATGTTTGTCCTAACAGCGATACTGCGTTCGCCATTGAACTACTATTGACCCAATTGTGATTCTATGTTGTCACGACTTTACATCGATACCGCCGAATGACAGTCGGTTGCTGATAGCGTCCCAACTATTCTATTGATTGTCACTCTACGTTGACACTCCACGTTGGACGTTTCCGCGCAGAGGAAAAGAATAAAAATCAATTCAATTAGATTCGCCAAGTATTTGAGCTGAAACGATCATCGAGCAGCGGCGCGTGGAGAAGTGGAACATTTTTTGGAGGCTTGCCGTTTGCCACTCGCCGCAATTTTAACCCCAGACGGGGCTGCCTCCCTTCGCCGTGCAAAATCCGATATTATTAATTAATAAATAATATTCGGTGCGTTTATATTGATTAACGCTACACGTTTGCATCATTAATATTTTAGAGTAAAATATGATTATCTATCATACGTTCATATTGATTATCCCGGCATCGGAACTAATTAATCGACGTAATCTGAGTGCCGCAATGATACTACGATACTACGTTGCGGAGGAAACACGATTGTGATAATTAATTAATACGATAACAGAATATACCGGCGGTCGTATAATCACATTGTACTTATCTAAAAACCGTTCACCCGTTGATTGACACAAACAATTAACGGGCGCGCCGCGAGTGTATTCTTTCTCTCGTGTGATATCGGCAAAATTGCTAGACCGTAATAGAAAATAATTCACGAATATATTATTGTAATACGCGTGTATTACAATGTATGTATATCGTAATGACATGCGTATAATGTATGCAAAATAAAATTGAGTGAACGAACGATCCAGTCGTCAACAACGCGAGAGAGAGAGAGAGAGAGAGAGAGAGAGAGAGAGAGAGAGAGAGAGAGAGAGAGAGAGAGAGAGAGAGAGAGAGAGAAGGAACGCTCGTTTGCATGCAAAATTGTCGTGCGCCAATCGACAGGTCAACAAACACATCGCAAACATGTTGCTGCTTCGCGAGCTACTTACCGTGCCTTCTCCCAGGTTGTGCACGACGCAAGGCATCAAGGCGGTGGAGCCTAATTGCGCCGAAACCAATGTTGAATTTTCCGTGCCGAAGCTCATCGGCAGAGTTGGCGGCAGGTCGACGTCCAGCGGCTTTCCCGTCGTGCCGTCCAGCGAGTTCATGTTAACATCGACTATTTCCGCCGTAACCGCAGCTGGATATTCTGAAACGAAAATCGCGAATTATCAATTATTACTCCCGCTGAAACTCTCGGCGGATTTTTAACCCGCGAAACCGAACGAACGCGAACGGCATGTCGCGCGACGTGCGTCACATATGTCAGTTGCTTTTTTTTTCAACGCGATGACAAACGGCAATGTTATAGCGACGACTGGCGGTGAAATGAATATTAAGATCATGCGCGCCGTGGCGATCGAGCGGCGAACTGCGCCGCGTGGAAATATGCGGTTTGCGACTCGAATTCATTGAAAATAAGTATCACGACTCGCGGCCGAGAAAAATCATGCGAAAAGTGCGCGAAGCTTGTTCGCGATTAATTCACCGCTCGTCATCACGTTTATGTCACGCAATGGATGCGCGCTCGGTCAGTTTATTCGAACGAGACGAGCGGCGCCGAATTCGCTCGTTCGGACGGTTTCCTTTTTCACCCGGCGCGCGATAATCGCGCGCAGTTCCCCCCCCCCCCCGTCATTCCGTATACTCTGCAAACGATCTCCGAGCGCGTTGCTTGTTACCGCACTTTGATTTTTCGATACGGCAAAGAGCTTGCGAGTGTGAAAATAATAAATGATATTTCGCGCGAATAAAATGCCGACGCGCGACTATTGGCGAGGCGATAATAATAATGAATAGTATTATTCCGCGGGAAGCTTCGTTTATAGCCGCGAAACGCATATATACGGCAGCTCGTTAATCTTTTTAATATATTATTTTCAAAAGCATAATGTTTTGTATACACTGTAAGTATACACATGCAACAACGCCGCTCTGCTTGCCGTGAGCGCAATAATAAAATACTGACTTCTTCCATGATACGTTCGGCGTTCGCGGATTATCTCCGCGAGTTAATTCACCACGAGTACCGTTTATTCATAAAGGTTTATTCATTGCCGCGTCAACGGACATTGCATTTTCCGATATACGCGGCGAAAATTGCAAAGTACTGAAAATCAGTTTTGTACAATTATTATTATTACGTGGGCGTTGCGGTGTTAGGAATACTAGCTGGCAAAAAATGACGATTACGATCGGTGCTCTTCCAATTCGGTGAACTGATTGCGACAAAGCGCTCCTGGTCTATTTATACTATCAAGTGTTATTGTACATTCCGATACCATTGCGAACAAATTGTATATCGGCATATGTCGCAGCAATCCGCATTATCGCGATCCATTCTTCCGTTCGGAGCCTCGATGTAATCTCAGTCTTTCGCAGATAATTCGAGACAATCGACAGCATCGATCCTACATCGATGTGCGTGTTCTACAACATTACTTCCGGTAAACGGCGAACCGACGACGGCGGCAATGAGCGTGTATCTGCCGTGCGCGTAATTTTCCGTGAAACGTTACGAGTCCAGTCCCTTATCGTGGATGTTGAAGCTCGCCGAGTTTTCGATGCCGGGGGTCATCGACTATCCTCGAGGTAACTGCCGTTAGATGCGCCGAGAAATTGGCATTAAATCATGACGGCCTTTACGAGGTCGAACTTTGTAACAGTGTAAGATCACCTACGCGTGAATATGAGACAAGCTTCTCTCCGCGATGGCCTCCTATTTTTCACGCGGTGTCCAGCCGGCCGATATTTCAATAAATGAGCGACAATTTTTGCCGACTGATTTACAGCGTTGTGAAAATAAGACCGCGAATCGAGATTATTCGCAGCGCCATATGGCGAATTTATGCTTCCACACGCGTTCATTATCTCGTCTTGCAAAAATATGAAAGATATGAAAAACGACGAGAAAAAATTTTTAATTATCCTTTGTCGAGAAAGGATCCGTATCATGTCGTAGAACTGAATACTGCCCGTTGCGATATTCTGAGCTTCGTTCCATTCTCAGCTGTCGCAGAAGCATCCACAATAGCAAATATTTTCGGTCAAAGTATTCACCAAAAATGAAAGAGAGAAAGAGAGACAGAGAGGAAGAAAGAGAGCGAGAGCGAGAGCGAGAGAGAGAGAGAGAGAGAGAGAGAGAGAAGAAAGAATAAACATTCGCGCACAACGTGCGCTTTAAACAAACAACGGAGTATATTAACGTACAAACGATACGATTGCGGAGGAATAAATTTCATTTCGCGTTGAAAGCTTATGCGTGACGAATCCACTTTATCCGCATTTTTAGAGGAAAATATTAAAGCGGAAAATGCTGCAGATAGCTATATGCAGAATTCGAATGACTTTTTTGTTGCGTTACTCACCAGTTAATACGTCGCACGATAGTCGATGGGGGCATACTTGCAAAATGTTCAGCGCACCACTTTACTGTATATCTCCTTTTGAACGTGGGAAACGAAATAATATACTCACGAAACCATTTCCTTTTTACCTCCTCTCCCACCACTTTCGTCATCGTATATATCCACGTCATTTTCGTCGAACGTTCCTCACACGCTGAAGCGCTAAAGTACGGCAGAGAGAAAGCGAGAGAGAGAGAGAGAGAGAGAGAGAGGAGAGGTTCGTGCAGATTGAAACGGCCAAAAAGTATGTCCCGCCCGGCCCGTACGATCACTTTTCATCCGTGAAAATCTACGATACGTTGCAGGCGATGCGTGTCTCTCGCGGCTACGCGGTTACATTGAACGCGTCTCATCTTGTCGGTTTAATTTTATTTTTGCCCGATGGTCGCGCGGAAATAGCAAGGTGGTTATCCGTCCGTGTCACACGGATTCCCGCAAGACCTTCATTTATTTCGCCCGGCCCGGCGGCGAGAGGCGGGAAGGAAGGAAGGAAGGAAGATACCGAGGAAAAAATCTATATCCCAGGCGTACAAATGTTTGTGCAGGGGCGATCGCGGCGCGCGAGGATGGTTAAAGTCCAACGGAAAGCCTCTTAACGAGAATCCCTCCGGCGCGCGACGGGAGGCTTTGAGCGGGCAACCGTTAAACCTCGTTCGACCCCCGTAACGACTGCTCTCTGATTTGACGCCTATTTTTCAAAGCCGGCATTTACCGCAGATGCGACGGGCAGCGAGGTGAATTCGTTAGGAGACGCCAGCGGAGGAGGAAGTCGGTCTGCTCGGCGACCGAGTCTTTGTTGACGAGCCGCCGTAGTTAACGATGAGACGCGCCGATGGCGGTCGCCGTTATTCCGGACGGCTGGAAGCCGGAGGAAATGGTGTATAAAACACGTGAAAGCCGGTCGCCGGGACGCGAGGAGACGCTGCGAAAATTTGTAAAAAGGACGCGCGGCCCGCTTGTAAGAAGTTGAAGTGCAGCGGGGGGAAACCTACGGAATTGGAGTCGTGCCAGCTCTCGCGACGTGAGATACACACAAGAAGCGCGGGAAAGAAATCGGCGCGAATGTCGAAAGAGTGCGAGATAAATCGGAAAGATGTAACGGAGCCGTATTAAGTCGCGCCGCCGCCGCCCCGGCCGAGGTGCTGCAGGTGCAGGATCGCGTGTCGATCGGTGCAGGATGGAAGATTGAATTTTCGAATCGTTCTTAATGACGATCGATAAGCCGGGACTGCAAGTTTCGCGCGGAGAGATCCTCGCAGGATCCCCCTAAATGGCCCAAATGCGAGATCCAACTTGTAATATCGAGTGCCAAAGTTGCAAACTGCAGCCACGCGCAGCAAGTAATTACCGCTGATTAATTGTTCAAGAATCCGACCGCGGTTTATTTAGCGCAGCTTACCGTTGTCTCAATAGCGCGCTATTACAAATTCACGAAATATCCGATCAATTACAACGGACGCCGGCGACTGGCATTGCAGCGCGACGTCGCGGGATATTGTTCACGTTTCGTGACGACGAAATTTCCGTTCGCGATTTCCTGCGGGAAGCGTCCTCGCGTCGCCGCTTCGCGCTCCGCCGAATCTATATATCGCGCGCGCGCGCGCGCGCGATATGGATTCGAGATATTAGCTTCGTGCCTTTTGATCTAACCTCGCGCTTCGCCCGTCTCTCAGCCGAAGGCGAAGGAGGATATTTCATGACACCGCGTCGCGTTTTCGGTTGGCCCAAAGAATACTTGTAAATTCGCGTCAAAGGGAGACAGAAGTATTTCCGGCCTCCCCCTCGCCATTCCGCGGCCACGCCTGCGACGATAATCAAGATTTTTGTTCCCCACGGCGGTGAGAACGCGCGAGAATAATGAGGACGCCATTACCGACACCGGAAGATCGAATATTTCAGGGGTGTAGCGGTAAAGCTCGTAATAAACGATGTCGACGGTCGATAATGCTTGGAAAATATTTGAATAAAGTGACCTCATCCACTTCTACTTCTTCTCCATTACGGTGAAGTAACGTCCATATAAGATGCGACTGTTGCGGATCCTCCTCCGCAAAATCTACCGAAATTGCATGCGACGTGTAATATTAACGATATACCGACCGGTCCCTTCAATCTTGCGAGATTATTTTCGCATATGAGATACGGCGCGTTTCTCGAGGAGGGACTCTTTCCATTCACTCAGCGATCGGAGCGACTGCACGTCAAATCGTATTATTTTGCTTATTTGTTCATCTCGTACCATATATTACCTGTATTCTTTTTTATGAGAAACAATAAATAGCTTCAGAATACGTTGCAGGGCACAAAGCGATTGTCGACGAGAGTTATGCGAGACGATATATTTTTCAAATACGCGCGATATGGAATAATTAAATTCTTTCCCCCCGATATGCCTGTTATTTATATAGCAATGAGTGATAACAAATATTTGGTAATCCAAATTCCACGTAGTCGACGAATTCGAGATATCTCTTTTTTAAACACATTCGTGCTTTTTCCCGTATAAAAGATCCTACGAAACAAAATATAATACGAATTATGTCGATACGTGATGCAACGTCGAGCATGCAGATTCATCAGAGAAATACTAAATACGCTCTCTCCTTCCCGGTCGTCCCAGTCGATCGGGACGACAAGAAGAGGAGAGATGCGAGAGATCTCGGTACTGAGGATGCAAAAATATTGAAATCCCGGCGGGAAAGCTTCGAACGCACGCACGTGCGTGCGTGCGTGCGTGCGTGCG